CTATCATATAAAACACTCTGTCAATGAAATACCTAATTCATTCATAATCACACACACACACACACACACACACACACTTTCATGTATGGGCTGAGGATGTGCCATTTTTACCATGGCCTTCCCATGCTCTTGAGGAGAAAATAAGTGTTGAAGGGAAACAGATGAATTCTATTAAGTTCTACATAGGCTGAGTGTAAGGCAAAGAGTGGGACTGAATATGGAAACCAAAGCCAACACATGGAAGCATATTTTTCTTTCAAAATATTTTATGTACTGAAGTTTGCACAACATCTTGGCAATGACAGCAAGCCTGTATAAGGAGGTGTTTTGTATTTCATAGCTAACATAAGAGCAAAAAAATGAAGCATCCGCCAAATATTATTTCAATCATGAATTTAAAAAATGTAAGAATGTGTATGGCAGAGTACATCGTAAGGCCTCAGGGCTAGAAGCTACAAGGTTTAAAATTTTTCCACAAAATTCCATAAGAGAGCTTATCTCTTATGTCTCTACTTTTGGTATTGGGAAGGAATGAAACTAGATTTAGCACAGCCCATCTGTTTGATTAGAGAGAGAAAGAGATATGGTTGCATTTTCTTGGCATACAGATCTCCTATAAACCTTAGAGGAGTGTTTGTTTTACAGATTTCACTGGAAATTATTTTTATGACATTTATCAATGCTGCCCACATTAAGCACTCTTTCTTTCTCTTCATTTTCCCCCTTTCTACATATTTTTAATATTTTAAAAAATAGAAAACTGGCCAAAACCGGTTTGGCTCAGTGGTAGAGCGTCGGTCTGCAGACTGAAAGGTCCCAAGTTCGATTCTGGTCAAGGGCATGTACAGTGGTTGCGGGCACATCCCCGGTAGGGGGTGTGCAAGAGGCAGCTGGTTGATGTTTCTCTCTCATCGACGTTTCTAACTCTCTATCTCTCTCCCTTCCTCCTCTCTGTAAAAATATCAATAATATATATATATATATATATATATATATATATATATATATATATATTGATATAAAAAAATAGAAAACTGCCAAGCACAATGGTCAGCAAACTGCGGCTTACAAGCCACATGTGGCTCTTTGGCCCCTTGAGTGTGGCTCTTCCACAAAATACCACGGCCTGGGCGAAGTCTATTTTGAAGAAGTGGTGTTAGAAGAAGTTTAACTTTAAAAAATTTGGCTCTCAAAAGAAATTTCAATCGTCGTACTGTTGATACTTGACTCCGTAGACTAATGAGTTTGCCGACCACTGGCATATAGTAGATAGTCAGTAAAATTTATCACATTCATCAAGGTTAACTAGACTAGGCATTAAGAGATCTGGATTTTCATTCTAAGGCACTAGTAGATATTATACTACCTAATGGAAGTCATTATACATTGCTTCTTACTGTAATGACTTCGAGTAAGTGCATATGTGGGGAAGTGACGTGTGTTTCTTAGATTAACAGGTAAACTATAAGCCAGAAATCATAACTTCAAATGCCTACATGTGCCAAGCAAGTACTAGAATGAGTAAAATGGGTGGATAAAATAAAATAGAAAACAGAGGGGAGTGTGGCCACTGGAGAACGCAGGGCCAGCCTGTGTATAAAGCATGATGGGAGCCACACAACTGCAATCCAAGTACACTTCTTACAGTGTAAGCTCCTTCAGAGGAATAATTGTTTCCAAACCATCTGTCATATGTGAAATAATACAACAATAAGTAATAAAAAATATTAATTGCTAAAATTTGTCAAACACCTACTAAGTTCCTGGATTGGTTCTGAATTTCATTTGGCCTAATTGTATGTCATGAATAGAATTACCTCCATTTTATAAATGAGATTAAGGTATAATACTTAGGCCGAAACCGGTTTGACTCAGTGGATAGAGCGTCGGCCTGCGGACTGAAAGGTCCCGGGTTCAATTCCGGTCAAGGGCACGTATGTTGGTTGAGGGCACATTCCCAGTGGGGGGTGTGCAAGAGGCAGCTGGTCCATGTTTCTCTCTCATCGATGTTTCTAACTCTCTAGCCCTCTCAATTTCTCTCTGTGTAAAATCAATAAAATATATATATATATATTTTTAAAAAGGTATAATATTTAGTAAATGTATATTGGGCACTCTATTAATGTAATTAAATGTTAAGAAATAAAAAACAGGCCCTAGCTGGTTTGGCACAGTGTATAGAGTGTTAGCCCATGGACTGAAGGATCCTGGGTTCAAGTCCGAGCAAGGACACGTACCTGGGTTGCAGGCTCTATTCCAGGCCCTTGGAATTGGGGCTGTGTGGGAGGCAACCAATGGATATGATTCTCACACCAAAGCTCCTTTCTCTCGGTCTCTCCCCCTCTCTCTTAAAATCAGTGGGAAAATATCCTTGGGTGAAAATTAACAACAATAACAACAAAACACACACACACCAGCACAGCACAACGAGGAACAAAGTAGCAGGGTGCTAAGCTGAGCCCTTCACCTAAATGAAAGAAGTACACTTCAAAAGACAGTCTATCAGAGAATGACATTCAACTTATCTTCTCTGTTTACCCTCCAACAGCGCTCAACTCACATATCTTGATCGACTACCTTTCTGTTAATGACACTCACATGCTTGTCTCCCAGCTCACCCTTTTAGTGGCTTGGAGGACATATGGGATGACATCTTTCCCAAAAGCCATGATGGATTTAAAGTTGAGAGAACTGACCAGGCATTGGGTTCAGATATGTGAGAGGATGGTTCCTTTAAGCTGCTCAGAAATGGCTTTTATCGTTTTTAATTAACTCGGGAGGAAGACCAAACCTCCTCCCCATCTCCACACCCTTATCCTTCTCCCCAATGCACTCTCTTCCACCTACCTGACTGAGGGGCTCACCCCGGAGGGGAGGGCTCAACAAACATTTGCTTCCTGCACAGATGGCTGGCACAGATTTAAAGTATGAATGTCTTGCCAGAACTGGTTTGGCTCAGTGGATAGAGCATTGGCCTGCGGACTGAAAAGTCCCAGGTTTGATTCCGGTCAAGGGCATGTACCTTGCAGGCACATCCCCAATTGGGGTATGCAAGAGGCAGCTGATTGATGTTTCTCTCTCATCGATATTTCTAACTCTCTATCCCTTTCTTTTCCTCTCTGTAAAAAAGTCAATAAAATATATTTAAAAATAAATAAGTAAAATAAAGTATGAACATCTTTCTCCTCAACGCTTCTCATCTCAACTGCAAAACAACAGAGTATAGTGATTGAGAACTGGAGTTCTGGACTCAGACAGACCCACCTTCAAATCCTCCTCATGATCTCTCTGAGCGGAGATTTCTTGGCTGCAGAGCTGGGATGATACTACTTCTTGCTGGTTTGTCTTGTTGGAAGGAGTAAACGAGAGAGATCAAGTCAAGTGTTGGGCACGGTGACTGACCTGCAATAAGACTCAGTACATGGTCACTATTAAGATTACTTTGTACCCTTTTGTCTTTCAGGGCGGTTGGTGAGCTCTGTAGCCCCGGGGATTCCTAAAGCAAGGCCTTGCTTCCTACATCCCAGGCTTTAAAAAAAAAAAACAAAAACAAAAAAAACACCTCAGTAGATAAGAAAGAGAAAGATAAAAGAGAAGAGACTACTTACTAGACTACTACTACTGCTTGTCAGGCCTCCTGAGCGTTGCTATATCTTATTAAGCTTTTGTACCCACACACAGTCCAGTTGGGGAATGAGAGTTGGATTTCATTGCTCCCCCATAGCTGGTGTTTCTCAAAGAGCATTCCCTGGGCCAGTGGTCGGCAACCTGCACTCGCGAGCCACATGCGGCTCTCTGGCCCCTTGAGTTTTTAGTAAAGGGCAGCTTAGGAGTACCCTAATTAAGTTAATAACAATGTACCTACCTGTATAGTTTAAGTTTAAACAATTTGGCTCTCAAAAGAAATTTCAATCGTTGTACTGTTGATATTTGGCTCTGTTGACTAATGAGTTTGCCGACCACTGCCCTGGGCCAATAGGCATTAGAATCACCTGAGCAGGTACCTGATCCACAGCCTCAGAATTTCCGGAGCAAGGCCAGGGCATCTTTGACTTAGTACTTGTATCATGTAATCTAAAGCTTGATCCTATATTTGCTTGTATTTTTACATTTAAGTCCTCCCGTAATTAAATGATAAAGTCTCCAAGGTGAGGACAGTGCTTTCTAGTTTTCTTGTAACCCCAACAGTATACAGCTCAATTCTAAACACGTCATCAAAAGTTAATGAAAGTATTTGGCTGGGTTTGGCTTTCTGCAAGGCAGGGCCCTGACCTGTCAATACCTAAAGATTGGTAGAGACCTTAAGTTAGAACGGAGATTCACTAGTCCCCAGTATCATTTCATATACAATGTGAGTTTTCAGTCGGTACTTTTTCGTTGCCGGTCAGTTGGGTGTTCTTTTATTACTTAAGCACTGAGATTTTTGACTTCCTGACCAGGGAACAAAATTAACAAGTCTCTGGAAAGTGAAGTCCTTTTCAAGTTTGAGAGTGTTTGTGAAACAGAAGTCACAGGCCTTCCTGCCTTATCATCACAAAGGAGGCCCCTTCTTTTCAAAATGCTTATTCAAATTTTAAACATGTGGATTGAAACCTAATTTTCTTTGCAGGATCAGCATTGATATGTGCTAACCTTAGGGAAAAGGGAGAACTTGTTACTTTATGATGTGTTTGTTCCTGAGCAATTGAGAGGTTTGCCATATGTTTTTATGGTCGTTTTCTTTGAGGTTCCATAAACACCTTCTGGAATGTGGAGGTTCCCCCACCAGAGTCCTCGGGGAGCTTTTCCAGGGCCCTAATGTCACTGGCCCAGCTGCTTCGGTTGCCATGATATGCAATTATTTCTTCTACACTTAGAAAGCAATTCTCTGATCTCCAACCCGTTAACCACGTTTGATCTTAACAAGATGAAAAATGTTCAGAATCTAAGCTTCTGATCTGTGTGATACGTTTTGTTTCTTTCAATTCACAGTAGCTTTCTCCCTCTTTTCTCTTCTTCAGGATCAACACACTGTGGTAGGCCAGAGCACAGGCCCCAGTCCAAGTCCCAACCCCTGCTCAAATCCAAACACTGGAAGTGGTTACATGAACTCCCAGCAATCACTGTTGAATCAGCAATTGATGGGAAAGAAACAGACTCTACAGAGGCAGATCCTGGAGCAGAAACAGCAGCTTCTCCTGCAGCAGCAGATGCTGGTGGATGCGGTAAAACTTTCTCCTATGACCTACTGCACGTACCTGCTGGCCCAACAGAGAGAGTTCATTACTTTCCATTTCTCTTTGCTGCCCTTTGCTGTGCCTACTTACGGGACAGCAAAAAGGGTGTCCTGTCTCTAAGAGAAGTTAATTCTATACATGTGAAATGCTTCAAGGGGAAATTTAAAAAAATAAATAAATACTTGATTTACCAGCTGCTGGACAGTTGGAAAGTAGGGCACCTCAGCTAACTAGCCCTGCCCAGCCCAGGAATGTTTAGAACCACCAACATGGGCACTTGAATCAGGCAAAAGAAACCAGTCTTGTTCCATAGCCCCAAGGGGCAGAAATAGGGAACAGAACTCTAATGAGCTCAAATCCAAACTGATTTTAGAGATAAGAGCATTGTAAAAGCAGTTGTAAAGCCAACATGGAATTTCCTAACTTAAGATTTGGCTTTTAAAATATAGCATATCAAAATGGGGGATTTTTTTTTTTTTAAGAAAGTTGAAAATGTATTTCCTACTTTTATCATATGGAAGTAGACTTAAAGAAAGGCAGGGCCATTATTTCCCACACACCACCCAAACATTAACCCTATTCAGTATTTATCTGCTCATCCCTTCTGTATTCTCAGACATACACATGCACTCTGCAGCTGATCTAAACCCTTCCTGCCTCCTAGGACCAAAGCCCTATCTCCAAGTTCCATTCTCTCTCTTCAAACTGTTTGGCCAAATGAAAAAGAAAGGGACAAGGTTAACCATCTTCAGGTTGATAGAGCCAAGAAACACAGAAAATAGAAGGGGAAAAATGCACACACACACACACACACACACACACACACACACACACAAATTTTTATATTCAAGGGACTTTGTAATAAGAGTAAAAAACCCAAGGTGTGATAAGTTCTACATTCCATTCATTAATATTTAGTTATTTACAATGAGAATACAGCCATAACCAAAACAGACCTGCCTTTGTCCCTAGGGAGCTTGAGCCCACTGGGGATGCTAAACAAATAGGCAAACTATAAGGCATGTGATTAAATGCTATGATGTGGGAGCTACTAGGAATGGTTCCAGAGAGGAAGTAATATCTACCGAAGATCTGAAGGTGAAGTGGGAGGTGGAGATGAAGAGCAAGGGTTTACAGCCAGAAGAGCCAGCAAATTCAAAGACTCAGAGACAATATACGACATATCAGTTAGCAGAGGCATAGACCATACACAAGGACAGAGAAAAGCCAGAGGACAGAGCTTAAGAAATCAGAATCTACATTGTCTGTAAAGCAATGGGAAGGATCTTAAGGATTTTAAACAAGGAAGTATTAGATTCAGATTTGCATTATAATAAAGGTATGCACATAGAAAGGAAAAATGTAATGGAGGAAAATATGAAATCCAGCTGGAGAGATTGGGGATAGTCTTCTAGAAAAGGTAAAATTTGACTTTGAGGAACTGTAGAATTCTGATGGGTCACAGGCAGAGAGTAGGCCAGAGACCAAAAGGCACAGCCTATGTGTATATTTGTTAATTAGCCTGAGATTTTATCTTGAAATATTTAATACATAATGAAAAGTATGCATAATAATGTAATAATTATTTCTGTTTCTTAAGGAATAACAAATAGAATACATTTAAAGTCCAAAGCATAAGAGAAGAAATAGAAATAAATTTATTTGAATTTGAATAAGAAATAATGAGAAATTTTCTGGTGACCTTGAGTATTACCCTAAGGTTTAGGGCTGTGGTCAGCAAACTGCGGTTCGCAAGCCACATGCGGCTCTTTGGCCCCTTGAGTATGGCTCTTCCACAAAATGCCACAGCCAGGGCAAGACTATTTTGAATAAGTAGCATTAGAAGAAGTTTAAGTTTAAAAAATTTGGCTCTCAAAAGAAATTTCAGTCATTGTACTATTGATATTTGGCTCTATTGACAAATGAGTTTGCCGACCACTGGTTTAGGGGAACCACTGACCTAAAGTGATGCATCTGATTTCTCCTATAAATCATAGTTGTGAAAACCCCAGTCCTACTCACTTTCTCCCATTTGCTTGGGTTTTTGTTTTGTTTGTTTTTTACCTTATAACTAAATAGCTTAGGAACAAGGGTAGAGAAGGAGAAAAATGTACAATCTAAGATTGACTTCCTAGTTACATTGTCATTCTCCTCAATGCTACTAATCTGTCGAATTATGACATGCAGAGGTTGAATTTCTGGGTTTTCAGCTCTGATTAAAAGGCAAGGAAACATCCCATGAGGGTCCTATCCCTGCACCGACCTAATTCCCATTGAGCCCCTGTGGAGTCACACTGGGACAGGTGCAAAGGGCAGTGGCATGAGCTGCGAGAGATGAATGAGAACGAGGCTGCTGTGTTTTGTGATTCTTATCAACCATTCACATTTCTCTCCTTTGGCTGCCATTGAGGGTGCCTGTACTTTTTAGCATATCCAGGAAGAAACCGTCTTTGATACCGCTTTACATTAGCATATGCTTTGTAGTCCTTTGCAGTCAGTTGGCAAGGCCAGACAGGCGCCTACATGGAGACATTTTCTCAGGAAAGTGTTATCCTTACTCTCTATTGCTCTCCCACCAAGGAAGCACAAGGAGCAGAGGCGTCTGGTACTTATTACAATGGACGTCATAATTACCTACACGTTTCGTGCACCTACTATGTGCCAGGCACCATGCTGAGCTTTTTCAGAATTAAAGGATTAATCCTTACAATAGGAGTATGTGGGAGGTCCTAGAAGTATTCACCTTTGACATTTTGAGATGGCAAAACTGAAGCAGGACAGATTCTTGCTGTATTAGGTTTTTCCGGTCCAAAATATTGGGTTATCATTGATAAGTTAAATTCCATGTTACACAGAAGCTGTCCCAGGGGTGCCTGCGAGTTTGCACTTGCACAGAAAGGGACTGTTGATCTCTTGAGAACGAAGCAGTCACCACTCTGTGCTGAAGGTTGGTCCTGGCTATGCTGCAGCACACAATGACAAAGAGGCTTTCCTGTGATAGTCCATATGCAAAGCCTTTACTTCTAACTCATTTGTAAACAAGTAGTTAAAGAAGATCAGGTTTCCAGAGATGTATATGTTAACACTTTAGGTAACTTAATATAGCCCTCAGGGAAATAAAATGTCAATAATTAAATAGAATATATATAAATAAGTCCTAATTTGAAATCTAGTCTTTAATGGGAAATGAAAAGCCTAATCTCTCTTCTCTTCTCTTCTCTTCTCTTCTCTTCTCTTCTCTTCTCTTCTCTTCTCTTCTCTTCTCTTCTCTTCTCTTCTCTTCTCTTCTCTTCTCTTCTCTTCTCTTCTCTTCTCTTCTCTCTCTCTCTCTCTCTCTCTCTCTCTCTCTCTCTCTCTCTCTCTCTCATTTTCTCTCTCTTTTTTCTCTTTCTCCACATGAATCTGATTTTCTTCAACATATATAGCAGAAACACCTAATTGCATAAGAAAAAAATAATAGATGCTTTTGGAAAAAAGATTTCAGAAAGCCCCATGCTTGGCAAAAAAATCAAAACTGTCAGCTTACACAATAGTTTACAACAGGAACGGCTGAACATTGCCACATTTGGGTTCACAGAACATCTCAAAGCTGTTTTTTTAAACATTTAGGGTTTGGGTAAACCCAAAGTTTCACCAACCACTTTTTCCCTTAATTTGTGAACCCATATTTAAAAGAAATGTAACCCATGTGTTTCTGATTCATTTACACTTAGCTCATCAAAATTGTGTTTTATATGAATTACTTGATGCCCAAAAACCCTTGCGAGCCTTTCAAGTTTTTTTCTTTTTTCCTTTGAAACAAGAATTTGAATTTGGTTTGTTGTTGTTTTAAGGCTTCCCCCCCCCCCCCCCCCCAATATAGTGGATTTATTCTACTTAGAAAGCCTGGGATTTGATGGGAAACTGAGATACCCATAGTTTGTATGGGTTTGGCTTTCATGTAATTTACCCATCTGTCTGTTACATGGTCTTTTTTTCTGCTTATTGACTTTTCTAAAATTATATTGTTCTCTGTCTACCTATGCCAATTATCTTTATCTTTGAAAATGGAGGTTGCTTTGGGATTCGGTGAAGCAAGTTTAAAATTTTCCTGATCCATATTGAGAATACAAAAAAAAGTAGCCCTTGATGTCCAGATCTGATAGGACAGCCAGGCCGCTTATTCTCTGTTGGACATAAACAATGTTATAAGATACTGGCCTCAGACAGGGTTACTCTGAGACCATGATAAAATGAGACAAAATAGAGCCACTTGATAATTTGGTCTAAAAACAGATATAAACAAGGTCACTCTGTAGCCCACAAAATCCCCAAATCCCCCTCTTTGGCTAAATGAGTGACAGCTGCTTCATTACTCAATCATAGAATCAACCTCACTTTCTGGAAGCCGAAAACCCAGAACAAACCCTCACTTCCTTAGACCCTCCCAAAAATCACCCGACAAAAGCCCACGTACTGTGACAGGCTCTCTCTTTCTTAAATGCTCCTACTAAAACACCCATGGGCCCCTGTGCAGTCTCCCTCATCAAAACAATAATAAACCACATTGGCAATGTCAGTAGAGTGTTCCCTATTTCTTCTCTTAGCTCCCAAAGAAGCCTATTCTAAAGATCTATAGGAAGGTGACTCCAGAAGGAAGAAAAGAGGGAGCCTGGGAAATTTCTGTGCCTAGAGAATGGGGGACAAAGAGAGCCCTTGTATGGTATGGCAGGAAAGAGCCTGAGTTTTTGACTCGGGATTTGGCTTCTCTTCTACACTTTGTGATCTTGGGTAAGTCACTAGCCTAAGGAAGCTGTTTCTCAACAATGAGGTGGGAATAATCAGACCTATCTTCCGGGGTGGTTTATGAGGGGGGAAAAAGGAAGTAATATGCATGTATCGCCTCTACCAGTACCTGATAGGTTATCTCCTCCTGTCTAGAGTTGCCAGATTTAGCAAATAAAAATACAGAATACCCCAGTGTCCTATATTTTGTCTGGAAACCCTATTCCTATGCCTTCAACTCTGTGGGGCCAGACCTATATACAGGGTGGGGCAAAAGTAGGTTTACACTTGTGAGTAGATAAAACACAAAGCTTATTCTCCTACTATTATTTATTAATTATTGTATTATTGTCCATACAAACAACTATAAACCCACTTTTGCCCCATCCTGTATAGGTGCCAAAGCATACCAAGTGTGCTACAAAGTAAAACTGGAACTATCACCTCAAAAACCACACAAATTTAGTCCTCGTCAAAATCTAATTGCAACCTAAAGAAAATAAGAGTAGTTACCACACCCAAAACATATCAAATGTTAAGGAAAGTAGAAGTTGCACTTCCATACAATAAGTTTACTGAAATGGAAAGGATTTGTTTCTGAATTGAGACTAATAAATAAGGCCCATGATTCATAACTATGACTGAAGATTATTCTCATATTCTTTTTTGAATAACAGTCTATAAATTTTTACAAGTGACAAACTAACAATGCAATTCAATATGTTTTCATTTGTGTTTTCAAGGAGAAAATTAATTCACAAGATCAGATAAACAGACATTTGACAAGGCCACCTCCAGATTACAAAGACCAAAGAAGAAATATGGGTAACATGCAACCAACTGCTCAGTATTCTGGTAAGTGTTCTCAAAAATTAATAGAAATTGTAACTGCAGAAAGAAGAAAAAATGTTCAGTTTTTAATATTTCCTTCTTTCCGCATCTTATATTTAATTGTAACATCTTTCTTAGACTACTTCACTAACACCCATATAACTTTCAGAGCAAGACCAAACTTGAATATTTGTAGTTTTCTCATCATTTCTTGCTTAATCTTGTTCTTTATTCACATATTTCACTGCTCTCCAGACTACCTCTGGGAGTTAAAAATACTTAAATATTTTCTAACTGCTAGGTTCAACCATTCTCTTCCCAACAACGTATCTTGACTCAGATAGTATAAGGTAAGTAGACATTTCTTTCTGAGTCACATTTGTAATTTGCTTAAAGCCCAATCTTTTTGTCTCCACCTTTGGACTCATGTCCCTAACATAAATAATCCTGCCACCAAGAAATAATTAAAAAGCAAGTTTAGCCCAGCCAGTGTTGTTCAGTGGTTGAGCATCAACCCAGGAACCAGGAGGTCATGGTTGATTCCTGGTCAGGTACATGACCAGAATGCAAGCTCGATCCCCAGTAGTAGATGTACAAGAAGGCAACCAATCCGTGACTCTATCTCATCATTGATGTTTTTCTCTCTCTCCCTCTCCTTTCCTCTCTCTGAAATCAATAAAAACATTTAAAAAAAAAAAAAAAAAAAAAAAAAAAAAAAAGTAAGTTATGGTCCTAACTGGTTTGGCTCAGTGGATAGAGTGTTGGCCTGTGGACTGAAGGGTCACAGGTTCGATTCCTGTCAAGGGCATGTACCTTGGTTGCGGGCACATCCCCAGTACTGGGTGTGCAGGAGGCAGTTGATCGATGTGTTTCTCATTGATGTTTCTAATTCTCTATCCCTCATCCTTCTTCTCTGTAAGAAAATCAATGAAATATATATTTTTTAAAAATAAATTAAAAAGCAAGTTATGTTTTTATGAAATCTCTCAAAAATACCAAAGGTGATAGCATTTCAAATACAAAACTTCTTCATAGATATCTCAATATAACATAGGTGATAGGCACTACCCCTAAAATCTCTCTCCTATCACTGAACTCCAGAAGGAGTTCTCCCAAACCTAGCTGGTCCTACCCTCTCCTATCACCATCTATTCAAGTCCCTTCTGCCCAGAACCCACTGCACTTCCTTATGTCAATTAAGTCTGTCTTGGAGTTTTCCAAATTCTCTCTGCTTTACCTGTTACTTTCCTCTTTTCAGGAAGCCATAAAGAAGGTTGTCTAAGGACAAATGAGCTGTGACTACTCCTGTGTGTTAACATTTTCTGGCCCTGTTATAAACATGTTGTTCTAATTTATGTCAACTTTTTCAAATGCACCAGACTGCCTCTCTCCACTAAAATTAGGAAAGGGATACATGTATTCTAACTCTCTAGATTACTTTGCCTCTGCGAAAGTAGGATTCTCTAGTTGATTCTGTCCTCTAGAAGGTTGAAAGACAAGATGGTAGTGTGGTGAAGGTAGTGGTGGGGGTGTCAGTGGGGAATGAAAGGGAGGCATCCGCAATACTTTCAACAATAAAGATAATTAAAAAAAAAAAAAAAAGAATGGGTTTTTTTTTTGGATCATGGCTTCTTAACCATCCATGGCCTATCAGTGGTTTTATGGGAAATAATTATTATTCAAAATTCAAGGTGGATGTTTGGGCTTTTCTTTTCCCATTCACATAAACGAATCCCTAGGGACAGTAGACTAAGGCTATTTTGGTGGCTCTACTATGTTATCATGGGTCCAGGTTTCCTTGCTTTTCCACTCTACCTTCTTTAGCATGGAGCTTTTATTCTAAGGGTTGGTGTGTCCATCACACCTCCAGCCTTCATATCCATATTCCAGATAGAAACATGGCCTCCCAAATATGTCAGGTTCCCTTTGAATTTTTTTTTTCAAATTTATTGAGGTAACATTGATGAATTACATTATATACATTTTAGGTGTATATACATTATATACATATTTGATATCTGTATACTTTACTGTGTGCTCACCACCAAAAGTCTAGTTTCCTTCCATTGCCATGTATTTGACCCCCTTTGCCCCATTTTCTCATCCCCCCAAATCTCTTCCTCTCTGGTAACCACCACTCTGTTGTCTATATCTATGAGTTTGTTTTTGTTTTATTAGTATGTATGTGACTATTTGTTTTATATTCTACATATGCATGAAATATGACTTTTGTCCTTTTCTATCTGACTTATTTTGCATAGATCTATACATGTTATCACAAATATTTCATCTTTTTTGTGGCTAAGTAGTATTCCATTGTATATGTATAGGGTGGAGAAAAAATGGGTCTACAGTTGTGAGTACGCAAAACACAGGGTTTATTTGTGTATTATTTATTATTGTATTATTTTTCATATGAACAACTATAGACCAACCCCATATATCTACCTCATTTTCTGTACACATTCATCCATCGATGGACACTTAGGTTGCTTCCATATCTTGGTGATTGTAAATAATGCTACAGTGAACATGAATGAGATTCCTTTTTAAGCATAGATTTCTTAACCCAGCCAGTGTGACTTAGTTGGTTGAGCATTGCCCCACGTGCCAAGAGATCACTGGTTAAATTTCTGTCAGGACACATGCCCAGGTTGTGAGCTTAATACCCAGTAGGGGGTGTGCAGGAGTTAGTTGATTAATGTCTCTCTCTTTCTCTCTCTTTCTCTCTCTCTCTCTCTCTCTCCCTCCCTCCCTCCCTCCCTCCCTCCCTCCCTCCCTCAAATCAAGGGTTGGTGTGTCTCTCCCTCTTCCTCAAATCAATAAAAACATTTTTTCTTAAAAAAATAGATTTCTTAGACTCTCATCTAATAACTTTTACCTTTAATCAGAATTTATTCATATGGACCCTCACCCCATAAGAAAGTTTGGGAAATGGGTTTTTCAGCTGAGAATATTCCTACAAAGTCAAGGCTCTGTTTCTAAGGAAGACAGACCAGCTGGAAATGTGGTAGGCTCTTAGAAGCCTCTTCCACAGTGTATATGGGCATTTCCCTCAGCATCCAGATGCTGACCTCCAAGTGGATAAGAACCACTGCTCTAGAGCGTTGTACTTCTGAGCCTTCTGAGAATGAAATAATCAACAAACGCAGCACCAACTCTTTCATCATTTTTATCTTAATCTCAATATAATAATAATCACTTTCCCCAGGCGTTAAAATGAAAAATGATGCATAAAAAGCACCTGTAATTATTTCTACCACATATTAGGTGCCTTTGAATATTAATTGCAAATAATATTTTGTGGTCTTTATGGAAATTCTCTCTGTCTGGTTGTTAAAAATACTGTTCTCATAAACTTTCTCAGGGCATATTGTTGTTGTTGTTTTAATATTTTATTTATTTTTCACAAAGAGGAAGAGAGAGGGATAAATAGCTAGAAACATCGATGAGAGAGAATCATCAACCAGCTGCCTCCTGCACACCTCCTACCGGGGATGTGCCCGCAACCAAGGTACATGCCCTTGACCGGAATCCAACCTGGGACCTTTCAGTCTGCAGAATGATGCTCTATCTACTGAGCCAAACTGGTTTCGGCTCAGAGCGTATTGTTAAAATAGAGCACACACAGAGGGAATGATGTTTAAAACCTCTACTTTTGTTTCCATTGCATTTTCATAGTTAAAGTCCCTTCTCATGAAACCTTCAGATGCCAAAATGAAATTATTTAACCTAATTAGCCGTCTGTGAATCCTGAGGTACTGTTCAAGTATCTCCTACCTGTTCCTCTTAATCAAACATTTGCTGCCCCACACAGGGCAGGCCCCCATGCTAAGCCTGGAGATACAGGACACTGCTCCTGCCTTCCAGGGCTATATCATCTAGTTGGATTTATTTTAAAATTTATTTTAAAACAAATAGCAAGGCCTTCGGTCTCCAGAGTTGTGTACCATGCTAGCTATGCTCAAGCATAGAGGACCCCCTAGGGTTACAATGGCAGCTGTGCTCTCCTCATGCCATTCTGTTAGTCATGTGTGTGTCCAGTTCTCTGTTTCTCAAAATCTCTGATTCTCTGGAGGGAGGCTACTTTAAAAGAGTATCTCTCTCTCCACGTTACATCTCTGCTTCGCTCTCTCATTCACTCATCATTCATTCAAAAGATATCAATTGACAACCTACTTTGCACCATTCACTAGACTTGGAGAATATGACAGTGAACAAAACAGCCAAAAATTATTTCCCCTTGTGGAATGTATCATCCAGCATCTTTCTGACATCTCACTTTTGCCTCTCAAGATGTCTTCCAATGATGACGTTAATCTCCACAAGCCAGGAAGATTCCAATGTGTTGATTAATTGCCATCTTATGTGTGGAGCCTCTCCATTCAGCAGCACATTATGGGGTTGTCCAACATCCAATCACTTATTGAAAAGCATCAATGTAGCTGACAGGTCCTTTGAGGCTCCATGGGATTTCCCAATACAAAGGCTGAGTGCTAAGTTAAAACTCTAAAGAGCAAATGCTACTGGGTAGAGGAGGCTGGAATATCAGGGGAAGTTTAATGAAGAACTTTGGCCTGAGCCTTGAAGAACAGAGAGGGCTCAGTGAGGCAAGAAGGACATCAGATGAGAGGGAAATGGCATGAGCAAAGGTAGCTCATAGCGTATGAATAGCAGTGCAATAGTAACTGTACCTCCTGGAACAGAAGGCTTTCCATATGTAAATAACCACAGGAACACTGGTTGCACTGAATTCCAGATGTTTAAAGAGATGGGAATTTACCCTCTGGATACAGGAGCCACTTGTGTCAACTTCTTGAATAGGGATGATATAGGTGAGGAATTGGACGTGATTTTCAAGGTGATAGGTTTGACCTTGCTAAGTTATTGTAAAGTTCTGAAAAAGAGGAGGTAACCTACTGCTGTGAATTAATATAATTATCTTCTTTTCCTTAGGTGGCTCATCAACAGTGAGTTTAAACTCTAACCAGACTTTGGCAAACCCAGTTTCAACACACACCATTTTAACTCCAAATTCCAGCCTCATGTCTACTTCCCATGGAACAAGAATGCCGTCATTAGCCACAACAGTTCAGAGCATGGGGATGTATGGGAATCTGCCTTGCAATCAACCTGGCACATACAGTGTCACGTCAGGATTGAATCAATTGACCCAACAGAGAAACCCAAACCAATTGATAGCAAATCAAAACAACCCTCTCATGCCACGGCCACCTACCTTAGGGCCAACTAGTAATAATAATGTGGCCACTTTTGCAGCAGGACCTGTTGGCAATTCACAACAACTGAGACCGAACTTGACCCACTCTATGGCAAGCATGCCAGCACAGAGAACATCGAACGTAATGATCACGTCCAGCACCACAGCACCCAACTGGGCCTCCCAAGAAGCGACAACCAAACAGCAGGAAGCCCTGAAGTCCGCAGGAGTCCGCTTCCCCACCGGTACCCCTGCAGCCTATCCTCCAAACCAGCCATTGCAACAGGCGGTAGGGAGCCAACAATTTTCCCAGAGGGCAGTGGCTCCTCCTAACCAGATAACACCAGCGGTGCAGATGAGGCCTATGAACCAAATGAGCCAGGCATTGAATGGACAAGCCATGGGTCCGCTCAGAAGTCTGAATCTCAGACCCAATCAGCTGAGCACACAGGTTTTGCCTAATTTGAATCAGCCAGGAACAGGGTTGAGTCAGCCAAGGACAGGCATAAGCCAGCCACCATCTCTGACACCTGGCAACTTTCCCTCACCCAACCAAAGTTCCAGGGCTTTTCAAGGAACTGACCATGGCAGTGACTTAGCTTTTGACTTTCTCAACCAACAGACTGATAACATGGGCCCTGCCCTAAACAGCGATGCTGATTTCATTGAGTCTTTACTGAAGACAGAGCCTGGTAATGATGACTGGATGAAAGACATAAATCTTGATGAAATCTTGGGGAACAACTCCTAAAGGAGAAAAGGGAGACAATTCACCAAGTCCAAGCACTAAAAGGCAGTATTTTACAAGGACCCTGGAAAGGCCAACTGGTGACTCCTAATTGGGCTACATGAAGATACCACAGCTTAGAAATGGAAAGCAGGAAGTAGTGAACATTTTGGTCCAAATGCTTGTTTTAAATCTCAAACCTGAAAGTAAAACATCGAGATCACTTTTCCCTGTCTAAATTCCAGGACATAGTATCCAGTTTATCCCAACAGAACTGTGATGTTGATGTGTAATTAGCGGTGTAACATAGGTCTCCCAAACTCCTTTTCTCCCTGAAAGAGAAGTAATACAACTTTCAGCTTGTTTAAACCCCATGTCATGTGGGGGTATTAATTCCAAGCAACAAACATCAAATTCCTTAATTTGCTCTAATAGAAACACGTGTGGTTTGATCTTTCCATTTTATCTTTTCATTCAGTTTTTCTAAAATTTCCTAGATTGAAACGTTATAGGTTTCTTTTCAGTAACCAAACACTGTCCTCAGTAAAGGAAAGCTGGAGAACCTAGAGGAACATTCAGGGAATTGTGAAATATCTTCCCCACGTATCCTGTACTTCAGTGAGATGCTGTGTCTAGTGAAGAAACATTGAAGCCTGAATGCAGAGTTGCCCCACTCTATTTGGGCTTCCACAACCAATTTCTGAATCCAGGTCCATGTCTTAGATACAATCACCTGTCCGAATCATACTGAAATATTAGTGCACATGTCTACATCAGTTTTCACTATTTTAAAAAGAAAGCACCCATTGGGCATTGCTGTAAAGGAGATTTATCTGGCCCCAGATAACGTGAGGTGTTACTTATTATAATAATGGTCCCTGCTGGTTAGTTCCTAACCTGAGTGAAGTTAAGTCTGATCCTCCCTGATTACTTTGATGACCAGAGACTGGTTTGTAAGGAAAGGAAGTTTTGGGGTCAAAACTGAGATTACTAGGTAATCATGTTTTGGTTGAAGATAAGAAGCAAAAGATCAGACCAGGGATGGTGAGTATGGGTTGGTACAAATCTATTTCAGAAGATTTGAAGGGAAGCATAATTGAGAGAGAAAACAAGCCGACCTTATTTGGACATATTTTTGTGGGTAAACAGCTAAATGGAGTGTGATCTCCTAGTATCAGTCTACTCATTCTTTTGTCCCTGAAAGGAAGAATCATTGCCACCGGGCGAGATGGGCCCTTCATATCCCGGTTTTCTCCCTCAGGGCTCAGCGCTGTCTCAAAGAAAGAGTTTCTGTTGAGTCACATAACCTCAGTGCCCACATGCAGATCAGCTGTAAAATGGGGAAGATGTGTGCTGATTTGAGAGGGCTGCAAAATATCTCTATCATTTTCCTCATTACAGAGGAACACAGGTTAGCTTCCGCTTTTTTAGTTATATACTCACATATTCAATTACCAAATGTAATTTAACAGAAGTCATTTAGCAACTAAATCTTTAAATATCTGTTCTTAAAAAGAATACATTTTGAAAGTTCTCCCATTCTTTCAAATGTCTAGCAGCTCCCTCTTTTACACACACACCAACATCACTGGCCCAGAGTCTCTTCTGTGCTAGGCTGTAAATATAAATGAATTACTTGTTTTGTAAACTTTTGTAAAGAATATTTTGGTAGAAATACTTAAAACATATTCTTTGGGTTATATTTATACGTATGTGAAATAAATATACTATCAAAAGGTTATATTTTATACAAAAAGTAAATTGTTACCTTTTGTATGCTAATATACAAAGTTTTGTATAATATGATGGTTTATTTTTAGCTCCACACTTAATCCATAGGCGGTCAAGTGGGAACTTTTAAAAACTATCAGGAGGCTTATTAGACAAAGTTATATTCTGAAACCTCAATAAGAAAAAAGCATTCCAGGTTTCAATCCTTTCCTTTTTTTTTTTTTTTTCCTCTTTTCTTTTTTTGCTCCAAAATTCCCATAGTTCTTGTGTCATGTTTGATTATTCTGCTATGCACATTGTATTAGTCCTTGTTGCATGTGGTCTACTGTGTGTCTTCCCATTTTATAGAACAGAGTTTCTCCATGCAAAAAAAATGTAAGGAAAAGTTATGTACATACAAACACTTTTATTTTATGGCTCCTCCATGTTAGTGTATATATCTGCCAGCACTTCCCCATCTCACTCCCGTGATTCAGCTTATTTTTACCCTAACATAAATAGTATGTTTTGTAGTAGCTATCAAATTTAAGAGATAAAGCAATCAGAATGTTTGGATTTTCTTCTATCATAATGTGAATTTTATAATTAATGTCTATTTATTCAGCTATTCATTAAAATACAGGATTCTTTGGAAAAAAATGGTGTAGTCTACAGTTTCTGTTTGTTGGCAGCCTATTACCAAAGATGACGTAATTTTTCCTGAAAGCTGAGATAATGACACTTTGATAGACATATGTAGCCAAAACTTGATGACTTACAACTTAAAAGCTATTGGAATACGATCTCTCATTTATAGAAATACCAGTCTATGGAATTGTTGGCAATGTTTCTCATTCTGACAATATTATAAAGGAGGTAGAAGTAATTTTTCTTTTTTAATTCAAAGACTAGGAAGCAATTTAAGCAAATAATTCATTCTCAGCTTTGTGGTAAGCCCAATAAAGATAAATAACTCTGCTCTACATGAATGCACTAATATTACTTGCATTACTGTAACTGTACCCATAACTGTAAAGATTTCAACTTGTAAAACAAGTATTTTGTATTGTGTGTAATCTTATGTGTTTAAAAAAATAGTTTTTAAAAATTCAGAAGTGGTTTTCTTGTATGAAATCAGAATTTCAGTCACCGAAAATGTTTCTGCTACAACACAGAAAGTTCAAAGACCTATTAATAGTGATGGACAAATTCATTCTCTGGGAAGTTTCTAACACCAGTGAAATGCTGACTTGTCTCATTATACTATTCTTTTGTTCGTTAAGATCCTATATATACAACAACTAGATAATACTTCTCAGGCACGGTGTGGGCCTTTGCATGGCCTGCTGTGAAGATGAGTGAACACAGGACCAGGTAAACAGTCTCACTGTACATAGTTACACAGTTCTTGAGAGTTAAAGTGGTTGAAGAAAAATGAGATTTGTAGGAGGCAAAGGAACTATTCTAACAAATTTTCTTGCTCTACTGTTGAAATATATTGCCAGGATTCCATTGTCCCTTTCGCCTCTGCTAAAAGGATGTGTGACATTATCCTTCTTATTAGCATTGTTAATGGAGCAATAATAAGAATTGGCATTTTATATAGTCACTCTCCAATGATTCTGGAATGTTAGATAGTAAACAAACAAAATCAACATCAATAAATACATCTTATTAGAGAGAAAGAAATATATAACTCTAAAGTGATCCATGAATCCCACCTCCTACCCGTGGAAGTAGACCCGAGAAAGAGAATAAGAAAATAAAAGTAAGTGCAAAAACAAACAAACAAAAAGAACAGCTCAGTTTCTACCCACTGGGTGGATGCCAGAGGTAATTCAAATTCTTAAATGCTTTCTCCACTACTTCCAGTTTATATCTCTTTAGCTGTATTTCCTCACCCAACAATAAGGATGTGAGGCAGAAATAGCTCACTGTTTCTCTCCAACTCTAAAACTCTGCAATTGGCCAAAACCGGTTTGGCTCAGTGGACAGAGCGTGTGGCCTGGAATGTCCTGGGTTTGTTTCTGGTCAAGGGCATGTACCTTGGTTGCAGGCACATCCCCAGTAGGGGGTGTGCAGGAGGCAGCTGGTCGATGTTTCTAACTCTCTATCCCTCTCTCTTCCTTTCTGTAAAAAATCAACAAAACATATTTTTAAAAATAAATAAATAAAAAGTAAAACTCTGCAATTGATTTTCCCCCAAAACTAAGTGAAAATTTAACCAAAAAGATTCAATAGTATCATTTTTTAAAATAAAGAATTCACTTAACCTTTTAAAAGGTTTCTTACTCGCAGTCAATTTTATTTTACAAAGCAGCCATCTCCATAAAAATTAAATCCTATGAAAATGAGATTTCATCATAAATAGGCCAGAAGTCACTTAGACAAGCAGAAAGGCAATGCCAATTTTAGGTGCCCACTGACTGAATGCAAGTCAAGCCCTGAAAGGCAAGCTTGAGTGTGATATTAAATGGTCATTTCCCTGTGAGGTCATGGAATTTCATAAAGAAAATATTTTGCCTACTTTGGAGGAGAAAACATACTTTCAGTAGTGCATTGCATTGGTTATACATTAATAAGCTTTTTGTGAGTTGTAAATGATAATGTAACAGCTTTTAAGTATGCTTCCTAAATTCTTCTAATAGGCAAAGTATGGCAGTGCCCTAGTACCAAACTCATTGGTAACAATAACATGATTAAAACATTATATTATGAGAATTAAGAAAACATATTGACCATAGACTTTTATTTTTTAGGACTTATTTTTATTGATTTCAGAGAGGGAGAAAGAAACATCAATAATGAGAGAGATCATTGATCATTGACCATCTGCTCTTGCATGCCCCACACTGGGGATGGATCCCACAACCTGAACATGTACCTTGATCAGGAATTGAACTCTGACTTCCTGGTTCATAGGTCAATGTTCAACCACTGAGCCATAGATCTATGGGAGACCATAGATCTTAAAAACCAAATGCTGTTGTCCCTGACTTGAATGCAGTAAAATTAAAAAGGGGCTTTCATTTGTTTATATAAATAGTATTTAAATTTTTATTTTTACCAAATTTAATTCATCTTTAGTTCCAGACTGTGCATGAATATATTGATGCTTTTTATTATAGTTAGGAGTCTTTCACCAAAATTGAGGGATAAAGAATAGCATAAAAAGACTACATAAATACAGGTGACCCAAAAAAGTATACACCCTTTGAATAATTATTAGTTCCAATGGATTCTGTCTGAAAAGTAAGAAACATCAATTGAGTTATCTGCTGTTAAGTGTGTATACATTCTTGGGGGATATTCCG